ATTCCAATACTTTACCTTACACACTAGGTGTGTGCGGAAAAGTAAAATAGTTTCGATGAAAATTCGAAATGTGTTCGTGGTACCTTTCACTTCAATGAAGAGTTTGAATGGTGAAAGAAGACCGTGAATGTTGCTATTCATGCAAAAATCCTTGAAATTTTTTCGAAACACCGTAATAATTGGAACAATTACAGTTTTCCATACCATCTGAATAAAGTGGATCTGAATAAACCAGTTCATCTGTAAAATGTCATACGTGTAATATGCGTTGTTGAATGAGTTAAGATGACTTATCACAGCTTGAATTTGATTTTGGATTTGGTTTCGAAATCGATTTAGTCGTTCCATATTGAATATTTTACACATTTTCACACTTGAACACATATATTTAATTGCATAAAAATTTTAGATTATTTGATTTAGATTAGATTTGGGCTGAAAAGCCAAGTAACTATTAACAATTCTATTTTTTTAAAAATGTCATGTTTCTATTTCATTTTCCCCACTATTCAAATGAAAATCTGTTGTGAAATACAATATGATCGCTAAAAACCAAGGGACAACAATTAAAACGACCTGCTTGCTGAGTAGACAATAACTAACTATTTGTATTTATTTAAATCAGTTTCCTTTGTACTTATGGATTAAACATCCATTTACAACAAAATCATACGAAAAATCGCAACTAAATTGGGTACAAAGACATTGATATATTGGATTTGATCGAAATATTGATAAGTTATTTAATTCAAGAGTAGGAAACTCACTGAAAAACTATATCACACTGACATAAAATAGTTTAAAATATCGAATTCTATCATTCATCCATTAAGATCGGAGGAGTTTAAATGACTTTAACTGATATTCTTCGAATAGAGTAATGTCTTTGACATTTTCGTACAATGAATTGTAGCTTGTTATAAAAATAAACATTTGTCGATAGAATGTTTGCGCGCCTTTTCACATTTGTTCGTGTTGTGCGGCGGTGCTATTGACGCATATTGCGCCAATTATCCACAAGCCCGGATAGCTCAGTCGGTAGAGCATTGGACTTTTAATCCAAGGGTCGTGGGTTCAAGTCCCCCTTCGGGCGCTCTTTTTTTTATTTTCGCTTTTCACCTGCTCCTTTCATCGTTTTTTATATTCGCATCGCAAAAACAGATTTTTTAGCGATAAAATACCGAAGCTTGTATACTTTGAAGAGAGAAAAGCTTGTATACTTTTTTAGTTTTGAATACATAAAGAGCAAAGAAGTAAAGAAAAGTTCCAAAAGTTCTAGTGATAGAACTTTGAATTGAAATAAACTACGTGTAAATCTATATTTTAATCAAGGATCTTATTTATTTGATTTCATGATTGAAATTAAGATTTGAAAATGATGAGAGACCACGAGGAAGGACATATAACATTTACAAAATGTCGTTTTTCGAACAAAGCCAATGTCGAAAATAAAGAAGAATAACCATTCCATATTTTTTCCCATAGTTTGGAAGGGGATCTAGCTGAAAGTCTGTCGCAGTTGAAGACTGAATCTTAAGCAAACAATTCGAAAGAACAAGTCGAAATATCATCAAATGATTTAATATTTAAAAATTAAAAGCAGAGAAAATGATTCCTTAAATATAAGATTGGTTTCATAATAAAGTCTAATACAAAAGATATCAATTATTCAAGTACCCCGGATATTGAAGTTCGGGTGCTCTTCTTTTTTTATTCCAAATCATTTTTATTTCATAGAATTTCGCCTTTTTTGAAGTAAATTCCAAATTATTTGAATAAATTCCGCATTTTCAAGACATTTGTAAATCGATCTACTTTTTTCTCTTAATTTTTAGTGTGTAGAAATGATCATGATTCCAAATTCTGTTTTTTTTTCGGAAATAGATTTGTTCCGAGTTTTCGTAGAAAATCAAAAATCATTTCTCGACAATTTGTTTCATTCAATTCATGAAATCTGTATAATTTCACCGTTTTTATTCAATAAATTTGCACAATTTAAGATATAGTTAATCAATTCCAATTAAAAATTCAATACTAGCCCATGAGCCATAGTCTGCGAGTCATTCCGAATTAGTTCCATTCTAGTATAACGTGAGCGATCACCAAGTATGCTGTTACAAGTAAAACGTTCCCGATCATCACTGGAAATCCAATTCTGTGTGGAAAAGTATCATTAGAATTGAATTCGGTACTTTGTATGTGAAAACTGAAAAATACCGAAAATATTGAAAAAACGTAATTTTATGTCCGAGTTTTTCAGCGAGACCGGCACACACGATGTTCGATGATGCACCATATAGGCTGCCATTTCCACCGAGTGTCGGTCCAAAAGCCAACGCATAGGCCATCGGTTGAACTGGTAGACTTAGCGCTTTATTTTCGGCCAATGACACGACAATTTTTACCATCATTGCTGTCACTGGTATTGAATCTACTACCGATGATGTCAATGCTGATACCTGTTGAAGCAAAATCATATTTAATGCAACAGAAATCAAGCAGTTTTGTTCCAAATGAAAATTTACTAACCCACAATACAATGACAATAGCCAATGCCAGGCGATATTCTTCATCAACCAATAGAATGAGCTCTTCCGTCTGTTTTCCAATCCAATGAATCAGTCCCATTCTCGCTACGCATTCCATCGTTATGAACATGGCACCGAAAAATATGAGCGTTATCCATTCAACACGTTGCATGACTGAATCTAAATTACAACTTATGGTTTTAGTATAAAAAATAATGTAAAAAATTCAATTGTCATAATGCGCTCATACTCGGAAATTAGAAGCAGTAAAATGACTCCGGTGAATGCCGACCAGCCCAATGTCATCCGCTGTATACTCGGTATTGACTCTATGAAGAATAAAGCGATGATGAATGCCATCGTTGCGCCAGATTTTTTTAGCAGTATCTTATCCTTGATTGGATACTGAAAATATTCACAAATTCATCCCAAATTAAGTCAATGAAATTCGAACTGATTTTTTAAAGACAAAAACACATACCATTCTCTTCAGTTGTCTTAATGTGCTTTGGAATTTGCTATTGCTATTGGTTGACATTTGGTCAAACGATGTGATGTTCTCTGTTTCCCTTCGTAATGTTGCGATTTTGTTCTCTAAAATTCGTATCAATGCATTCAGTTTGTTATTATTTTTAATCGAATCCAAGCACTTTTGCCATGCTTCCATCTCTAAGCTCGATGTATGTTGTGGCTTTAGTATCTCATGTATACTACGATGTTGCATTCTCAATTGGAAATTTGTTTGAATGAGCGCTATGACGACGCCAAAGCATGTGTGCATGGTGAATGTTAGGAATGTGATGTTTTGTTTTGAAATGTAACTATTTCCGGTGATCAGTAAATTTGGTGGATGACCAATGAGTGTAGTAAGGCCCGCTATGTTGATGTTTAGAATAATGAATGGCAACACCGGTACCGGATTCAGACCCAAGCATTCGAATAGCTTAATTGTGATTGGTGTCATCAACATAATTGTCGTCACATTATCTAAGAACATCGAAATGAAGGCACTTATCGCACAGAGTATGGTGATCAAACGCCAGATACGACCACGGCTTAACTAGTTGCAAAGAGAATCGATTTACTTCGGAGGTGAGGAATGTAAAAAAGAAATACTTACTTGAAACGTATAGACAGCGATATAGTCAAATATGCCGGTGTCAATGAGAATGGCGACCATGACCATCATCGAAAATATCAACAGCAATGTCTCGTAATCAATCCACTTAATCATATCATCCATGCTTGGCCGATCTTGAAGCGCCGCCAATGTTCCAATGGATGCAAATGCTGCTAATAACGCAGCCAACGTTCGATGAACGACCTATTTGACAACATAAATGAAAATTATTTTTGACAAAAGTAAACCTTCACATCTCACCTCTGATATGATCAAAACATTCAACGATATGAGAATGATTGCGCCACAAATCGCTCCGATTTGCTTATCCATTGAATGTGCATCGACGTACATATGAAATGAGACAGCATCTTGTGCATTTGTTGTGAATTGCATTGATAAATTAAGTTGCGTGATATTTGAGTTAATTTTTAAACAAAATTCAACTTTATCCAGTTTAGTCTGGTCAGATCCCGATCTTTCTACATTAAAATACTTTGTAACACGTTCATCGTCGATTAGCACATCAATTGTGACGCTATCACATGATGTATTTGTTGGCTTTGTCAGCGGGCCGATTAAATTTACACTGATCTTTGAGCCAATTTCATCACTGCGATAATTCAAGGCTAAATCAATAAAATTTCCATGAGATAGTGATAAAAATAAATATGAAGTAAAAATGATACGATTTACCTTTCGTTTTATTGGGTTGAACGACAATGTCGTATCTCGTTAAGTTTTTCTCTTGAACTGTCAATAGTTGATAAGCCATAAATGCCCATAAAACTGCAAATATGATGTATTTGATTAAGTTGACACTCCCTTGCGCCGATGTCTCTGTATTTTTGCCATTTTTCGAGTGCAACAGCTCAGTTTGTACTGAAGAAGCTCCAGTTTCTATGGAAGGAATATGATTTTTTTCTCGGTTAGAAACTTGGAGGTGTGGGCAATTTTTGTACTCAGTTGCGACACTTAAAAAAATATTCCAAATCTAAATGAAATAGATGCCCGCACATTTCTGATGTCTCTGACAACTCTTTTTTCTCACCGAGAAACCTTTTCGATTGACACATTTCATTGCAAAATACTCACCAGGGAAGACTTCCACAATATTATCGGTTTTTTTAGTTTTCTTACCAAAAAAAGCCTGCAGTACTATACCTTGAATGTGTTGTAATTCTTCTCGATATTCAAAGAGAATTGGATCATTTCGAATTGCTTCGGGAAATTGTTGCCAAGCTAACAATGCTTCGTCGCACATCCCGTTTGTATGTGACATCCTTGCTTTTACTCTATTTTTTCAGCAAATCTCAATGAACTGACAAGCTGATGCTTATCCGTCCAATGCTTACGGCGTACTGACGGCCAGTCTGCCATCGTTAAATTCAACTCAAGTGATATCATTTTGATCGCAATTTCTCAGATGCTAATTGTACTAACAACACTCGCTAATCAAATCTCTTTATATTGAACGTAATTCGTGTGGTTTGTGTGGTCAATTGTAAAAGCGAATGCACGAAAGTGTCAACACACAAAGTGGCTGAAAATATTTGGTTATGTGCTTGCTTACAAATCGATTGATGTTTACAAAATCTGACATTGCTAACAGAAGAACAAAAAAAAAAACAACTCCACAATTTCAGTTGAAATAAAGTTTATTTGCTTTATTGATCGAAGCTTTCGTCTCAATGTTTATAGTAAAAATAATAATAATGGAAACAATAATTTAATACGATGAAATATAATAACTATGATCACAATGGAATCATGTATGCCGCATAAAAAACCGTTCACGAATGAACAATTCATACAATTTAAGTTAGTTATATACTAAAAATTATGTGTGTGTATTACACGGCGAATTTAATTTTCTTGCCGATTATCGTTTTCGTTGAAGCTGTTCGTGGCTTTGATTGGTTTTGCGGTTGTTGTGTCAGTATCGTCACTTTCGTTTCCATCAAATGGACCATTTTTTCGTTGCGTTTGTGATGTGATCGTTGCCGATACCTTTCGTTGTTTGCGTTTGATTGGTACTGCCGTCATGATACCTGTACGTTTTGGACCACGATTTTGTTGTGAACGACCTTTGATTGGTTGGGAACGACGACTTTTGACTGTTGGTGGACTATCAGGAATGGAATAGCTTGGTTCCGAATCCGAGTCGCTGTCATTTTGTGCAGCGAAATTCAACAATTGCTTATGCAATTCCAATCCACGTTCTGTTGAATAAATCATTTGACCGAATGTCGATGTCGATGTTGATTGTCCAATTATCGGCGTTGGTTGTGCGACAGTATCAATCACTTGCTCTTTGTAAGTAGTCAAAATGCGGTTCATTCGCTTTTGCACGGTTGCTACACTGATTTTTTTCGTCATTGTTTTTTTGCTCTTTATCGGATGGTTTTATTTTGATTTTTTATTCAAGCGATCCGTATTGATTTTCGATAGAAGTTTGATTTGACTTCTACAACGGTTTTAGTTTGATTTTTATGTTATAGACTATTTTATGGGCGAGAATGTCAGTCGTGAACAGCTCAATGCACTGTGTTAAAATGGCGAATAATCGAAAAGTGATTTTTGCATAGGTCGTCGGTTCTGTGATGGAAATGACCCGTTAACAACGCAGCATCTTTATTCAAACAACACACGAGAAGGGTGCTTTGTTTTGAGTGCGTTCAAAGAATACACCAAATTTGGATCGCAGTCGCGTTCAATGTCATTAGCCATAGAATATTCATAACATTTCAAATTGAATTGCGCGTTGATCCTTACTTGGAATTATATCAATTTGAATTTGAAATTTAGTTCTTAATTATTTTTAAATTGAACAATATGCTTTTTCTAGAGATTTTTTATATTAAATCTGACTGGTTAAACCTATGATTATCAACAACTTCTTACTCGACTGCCGGTCAAAATATATAAATTATTACATAAATAATAATGTAAATTTTAATTACTTCAATGGAGAAGAAAAAAATCTAAGACTTTTTGTGGAAACATTTTTCTACAGTTAATTTTTGGCTTATTTTGATCAATAAATAATCTTTCTTTTTATTTTGTGAAGTTCATTTTGAAGCAAACAAAATTAATGCAATTAAGTCAGCTGTATTTGTTATGAATTTTGTATATAAACAATTGAATATGAATGGTGTAAATTTGTTTTTAAAATAATTTGTGTGATTGGTAAAAAAGAATAATATTTTGATTACAAAATTTGCAGTCATAACAAATTGCTTTTTTAAATATAGTTTGGGCCTTTAAGCAATTTAAGCATCGAGCAAATGACTAACTTCAATTATTTCACATTTAATCGTGTTGGTGGATACACTACATCAGACCCAAGACAATAATTACAGAAAAGAAAAGTGAAACACAAACTTCGTATGATGGACGTGTATATTGAGATGGTCTATCGTGCATACTACAAATGCAGTTGCGGCAAATCGTACGAAAGACTCAATAAAGCGAAAGGATGTTTGCAACAATGCACAAAATGTAGCAGAATGAATTCGCCACACAGTGAAGTATGCTCATCAAATTCTTTAAATCTAATTTAAAGTCAAATTTTATTTATTTTTTGTTCCAGCTTGTAACCAGACGACTACAATAAATGCAATGAACTCGCAATTTTGTATACTATTTAAAAAAATATATAATCAAATTTTACGAAGTTTTTATCTGAATTTTTTTTTTGTGATAGAGAAAAAATTATATGAAAAATTTCCATATAAAAATTTAATATTTTGCAAAAAAAGTTCATCCTTAAAGTAAAAGGTTCCATAAAACACCCTCTCATAAGACCACTCATGTTTGTCACAATCAAGTTTTACAGAATATCGAATATTCTTTCCAAATACATTTGTTTGTGATCAAAAAACATAACCATGCGTTCTGGTAAAAGTTGTCAAAGAAGTGTGGTGTGTTGGTTTCTGACTAGTCAAGATTGAAAATTCTTATAAAAGTACGCTGCATCGGAATGTATACTTTCGCTTGTTACAACAATCAATAGTGTTCTCAATTTGTCAACAAAGTATTGCAATCTCTCCGCGGAATAATGCATTCGCAGCGACGAGTAAAAAAAATGTATAAAAAATGGAAATAATGCGGATGATAAGTGGGAAGCATTAGTCGGATTATATGGCATATAAATTTTAATGGATTTTTTATACACTGATAGCTTTTGCATCACTTTAACGCTTTCTCTGAATTACTACAAATTTATTGATTTTTGTTCCCGACATCTATGAGCTATTCTGAATCCATTGAAAAATTGTTTTCAATTCCTCTAAATTTTTGGATAAATGAAATTCATATTTTGAATGGAATTTTTTGCGATTTACATCAAATTAACCTAAAACGGACATTGGCTAAATAGGTTCTTTGATTTAAATTCATGAGCATTCACTTCGAATGTCATTTATTTGAGTATATTTTCACTTCTATTGGGTGTGTTTGTGTCTGAAAATAGGAATTCTTGATTCAAAATTGGCCCTGAAATCTAATTTGTTTTATACATTTCACATTTTCAATTTGATTACAATATTTTCATTCCAGTGTTGAACATTTCAATGATATTCACTCTATTTCTCCATTTATCTCTCAGTCATTGTGTTGGATACTAATACTAAAATTTGGTCTGATTTAAACATATATGGGTCAACTAAATTTAAAAAAAATGGTCTATTTTCAATGTCATTCTGTTGATTTGTCGTCGTCTGAGCTATGTAGCTGATCACTTGATTCTTCTTCGTGGTCATCAACACATGATGGATCAAATTTATGTAATTGTTTGCGCCATTTTCGAATCAATCCGTCAAATGCTCGTCGACTGTATTTTTTGTGCATGTCTGGGGTTTTTGGATGATCTTTTGTTTGTTGGTCACTAAAACAATGTGAAGAAGAAGAAAAAAGGCGATTAATTCATGTGCCATTTGCTCACTGATCATTTGTTTATTAAATCAAACAGCTGCAATATTTGCAGCCATTCAGCCGAAATGTATCTCTTCTGCTTGCGTTAAACCACCAATTGTATGAGAGTTAAAGTCTCAGTGTTAAAAAACCTTCTTTCTTTGGAAAGAAGCACCTCTTTTGAGCATTAAAATCTGTTCTCAACACTCTTTATTTCACTAGCACATACAAAAAGCGATTGAGTCCTCAAAAAAAGTCTAAGTGGAAATGAAGTAATATTTCAAACTAAACTTACGTTGACACTTCTTTTCTGTACAATTCGTATCCGATGGTATTTTTGCCATAATCGATTTGCTTCTGTCGCCGTGCCAATACACCTTCATTGGTTTCGATTTCTTCTTTGACTTTGTTATTTCGCCATTGTTGGCACATCATTTGGAATTGACTGTGATCCGATGTACACGTTGGGTCCGAACAGCATGTACGAGATGATGAGATCGACGATGTGCCGCACGAATCGACCGATTCTCTTCGCTGAAATTCCATTTGTGCTGTTCGCTTTTGTCGCTTACCGATTTCATTGCCATTTTGTGATCGTCCTGAGACGTATTCATTGTCACTAGACATGTCGGAAATTTGGCCCGAGTCTTCGCTGTGACGAGTAATATTTGATCGTACATCGTCGCTGAAAAACGTTGACACCGAATTCGAACGTTTCTGGTGAACGCACAAAACAAATCCCATTGAAATGTGTGATACAAACGGTGTGAAATGTGAAATTATTTGTCCATCGAAAATGTCAAACGATAACTTACAATTGTCTCTTTTTCTGATTCTACTATTTGTTCATACCATGACTTTGGTCGAGCGGTTGTGTTTGTACGCTTATTTGGTTGACTTTTAACAACTGCCGCATACGATAATTTCGACGTTTGTAAGATACTCATTCTGTTGAACAAGAAGGCATCACATTTTTTACAAACAGTGGTGAAATAACAAAAAATGAAGAAAAAAAGTCCACAACAATTCAATGAAAATCTTACTTGTATGCTTTTTTTGTTGTTCGATTGATTGAGTTTTCCGACGATGCTGCTATAAAATTTCTTCAAAAAATAAACTCTACTTTCGATCGAAAATATTTAAATCTTCACTGTAAATTCGATGTCAACCAAATAAAAATCTAATACTCTCTTTTTAAAATCTTTTTTTTCTCTGTCCTTTTTTCGAGCACACGCGGTGTGGCGGTTTTGAGTGCTTGACATTAAATGTATAAAATGACAATACAAAACAAATGCAGCCCGCCACAATACCATTCGTTTAAACATTCAAACGTAATGCCGCGTTCACAAACACAACCAATATTACGAAAAATTGTGTTGCTTATGTATTTGTGTTATCGTCAATGCCAAAATAACATCGCGTTTCAATTTCGATTGTCAATTCTGTTTTGTTGCATGAGAACAAATTGCGCTACAACATATTTTTTCGTCGTCGCAGAGATCAAAGTAGTCGTGTGATTAGTTTGAATGCGAATACCATTTATTATAACGAACAAAAAGCGATTTCTGCTTGATTGCTTGGGTAGAGAAAAACCGCTTGTTTGTAAAACTTTACACTTTCGAGAACTTGGCAGAATACACTTCAAGAGAAGGATTTAAATGATATTTTAATTGGTGAATGAAAATTGTGACTCCAACAAGTTTGTCAATAATTATCTGTCATGCAATCATGTATACGGTTGATCCGATTGAAACTTTTTCCTACCTATCAATTTATGTGGCAGCACAGTGTCTCCGGTATATCGAGTACATTAGATGAGAGTTTCGAACAATTACAGAAACTTTTAGTCAATTTTATAGTTTTTCGACGCCGCTATATCGCCCACAAACCTGCTCAATTTAAAACTTTTCCCACAATTAACCAAGTTATATCTGAAGTATATACAGTAGCGTTCAGATGATTGGAAAAACATTATAATCTCTTCGACGTTCACAATGAGATGTACTCATGAATAATTCTCTCTCTCGCTCTCTCTTGTTTCGAACCGCTTAATATGAAATGTAGTCAAAAGAAGCCAATTTTGACTAATTTCAGCACCCAACTATCAAACACACTCAAAATTCGCTTACCTCTTTAGAAAGATTCATTAGGTTAGCCAAATATTTTAAGCAATAGTGTACACCTGTGTATAGCCAGCGGCTTAGTTTGATCAATATAAAATTTGCTGTAATTCATGATGAAACTGGCAATTTATATGCAAATTATACCTTCGAAACCACTTGGAAGTGTTAATTTAGCACCAATCCAGTTCAAATACATGATTTACAAAACGACATGGTACTTTCCAAAGCAAATGCCATTTATTTGAACTTCAATTTCAATCACATAATTGGTGCTTACTAAATAGATATCATATGAGGAAAGGCCTTATACAATTGGAAAGGCAATGTAAAAAAAAAGATAATTATTTAATTGTTGCGATTGTCTTAACACTAAATGAAGTCCTTAATCATGGATGAGTGTTTCTAATGGCAATTTCTGCATTTCGGATGGCAACGTTTACCTGGGCGACAGCCACAGCCACCGCTTGTATCACCATGACCGCCTGGATAACAAATTTTATGAAAAGAAAATTATTTGAAAATTTATAAATTTTTTTTTTTTTTTTTTTTTTTTTTTTTTTATTCACCTGGTCCCCAGCGGCTCATTTTTGTTGCCCAGCACAATTCAGTCCTACACATGGAACAGATTAGAAAATCGCAACCTATTCGTTTCATGATCACAATCTGGAAGTAGGAGAAAAGGCACGAATTAAAATATGATCCATTCAATGTCTAAATGACCTGTACTAGTGCATTCTAGCTAGAGTGCAGTTGAATTACCTTGCATGTTGTACATCGCATGCCTTCGTTTTTGCGGACGATTTCATCAAGATGCATTTCAGTTTTTTGCGTATCGCTCATACCGGCGTATCGAAGATCGTCTTGATATTCCTTACAATTAAGACCCGCATGAATAGCCTATGTGATTTGAAAATGTGAATGAGCATTGTGTTTAAAGGGTGAAAAAATTATTTCTTGAAAAAATCATTACCTGACATGACAAACAATTCAATGATGAACACCGTGGACACTTGAATGTGTTTACTTCGTCTTCAACGAGACACCAACCTGCCAATTGAAAACACACAAATCGTATTTGGATTTATTAAATTCAAGCATAGGTGAAGATTTTCGAAGCAAAAAAAAAACACGTGTTACCTTCACAATTAGCCTTTTTGCAATGATATGAATTCGGAGCTTGGCTTTCGGCAATGCGTAACATCTTGAGATTGTGTTTGTCGAATTCAGATTGAGTCAACAGCGACCGAATCTCTCGATCCATAATGAAGCCGGCACACTGAATCGCTGGACATTTGATTTGCACTTCTTCCGATTGGATGATCGTTTGCCGAACACAATCGATGCAATACTTGTGCAGACAGTCCCGTATGATGACCCCATCATGGGCCTCGATGTCAGAGTAACATATTTCGCATTCGAACCCATCAGTGTTATAGATAACGCCTTGTTCCTCCAATTTCATCAGTTCTTCGTACAATTTTTCGTTGTTGTTGTTGTTATGATTAGTCGCGGCGTCAGCAAGTGTGTACTTCTTTGAATGCAGTTCATACTCCGACGGTGTGAGCAATGAACGAATTTCACGATCTTGGAGAAAGTACGGACACTCTTTTTTTGGGCATTTTACTTCGACATCAGCACAGGCAATCACCACTTTTCGAATGCAATCGATACAAATTTGATGTAAACACTCACGCACCAAAATACCATCATACACGTCGATGAAATGATCACAACTGATGCAAAAGATAAATTCAGTATTACGAATAACATCGTCATGTTCTAGATCTTGCAATTGTCGATATAAATCATTTTGAGCCGCTTCATTTCCACCAGTTGGCTGGGCAATCGTTTCGGACAACTCATTTTCGATTGCTGTCAAATCGATTGTCGTAATTGTTTCTGATGTTGTGGCCTGTGTTGCTGCCGCTGCTCTAGTTAAATAACGATGAGCGATCGATCGACGACCAACGCTGGACATTTTTTTTCCTCTTTAAAATCCAAAACACAAATGAAATCAAATTGTTTGATTTTAATTTAAAATGAATCGACGATTAAATTTTATCTACGCACACCAAATACTTTAGAACGATTATGTTTTTTGTCAACGATTTGACACTTGTCATCGTCGATTCTGTTTACAAGCTCTCAGATTTGTTTCTACCGACCGCACAAATACTACTACAGAACTAGAGTGCAACACACAGACGGACATCGTGTCATATGCGCACAGTACTAGCCTAATGAGCTAGACTGATTACGCATACACATACATGCTCCTTTCCCCTCCTTTCATTCGGTTCTTTTGCATACCAAAACCTTTTTTTCCAGACAGAGTATATAATTGCATGTCGAACAAAAAAATTACGAGAAAAATGATGACGTCGCCAATTTGAAATGGACTTTTATAAATAGTATGGGAAATATGAAAAAGCCGATTGAAGTGCAAAATATGAGAGAACAGAACATTGTTTGTGGATTTTTTTTTTTGAATATGGTCGATTGTTGCTGTTCTTTATCTTTATATGGAAACAACACAAAGTAGTCAACGAAAAACAAAAATCGAAAGTCTTCGATACGCAGAACACGCACACAAGCGTAACATGTACACTTACATGCAGCCAGGGTTCTATCGTTGTGTCCAGAATTGTTGTCAGTTTACAAATACAGTCATAAAACAATACAAATTAAATGATAAAAATACAGGTCATTTATTTATTATCGTTTCGAAAGAAAATAATAACGAATCTTTAATCATCTTTTTTTTCGTTGCCTGTTTTTTGTTTTGTTTAAAGAAAATTCATATTTCATGACAGATAACATCGTCACGACCAGGGTTCACCAAGTATTCAATCATAACATTCAAAATTAAACTTGGCTCCGGATTCAATTTTGTAAAGAAGATTGGTTATTTTCAAAGTACTTACTTTTCATCAAAAAATATCAGCTGCCTCCTTCTCTTTTGGTATTTCCACAAACAAATTAAAATAATAATAAAAATAGATGGAAAATTTGTCCGAATAAATGGTAATTGTTTCGATTTATTTAAATCTTGGTGTGATTTTCTGTAGAATTTGTTAAATATTTTACTTAAATCTAAACATTTTTTTTACACAATGCTGAGTCCTTATCAATTATTATTTACAATCTTACTCATTTATTTCTTACACAGTGAATGGTGAATTATATTATCGTGATTTATTTTTCTGCTAAATAATTGCAAGCAATAAAAATGTATACAATACATTCATCTTTGATTTTTGATTTCGTTTCACTTCGTTCACACTCGTCTCAGACAAAATGAATAAAAACCATGAAATTATTTTCATTACAAACGTTTTTATGTTCAATGTCGCGGTTTTATTACATTTTCTCACCGTTGACGACCCCATTTTCCGTGAACGACAGTTTCAGTATTCAGACATTCCATTTCGATGCCCAAATGCGTTGCGTTCCGTATCGAAATTTCCGATGATGAAACATATTTGGTTGTTGTGCGAAACTCCAAAAAAGGGAGAGAGAGTACATTTTGCATCTTATTAATTCGTGTACATTTATAATAATAAAACTTTCTTGTAGTGAATAAAGTGACAATCGGTGTTTATATGAGAACATTAAATATTGTCTACTGATGAAAATTTCATTATTTATGAGAGTGTAGAACTTTTAAATATGCACATCTTTTCATCTACTTAAATATTAAGTTTTCTTTTTCTGCTTTTTATTTTGTTCATAAAATGTTCCGTGTGTAAATGTTACTTTATTCTTATCTCTTGTTCTTATGATCCCATTGGATTCTCTCGTTCTCTCGTTTGAGCAATAGAGAACTTTTCCAGTGATTATTGCTTCGTCATACTGTTACTGGCTTCCCTCTCTGTCGATACATACTATTTGGTTCTTCATCAATTATGTATTATTCCATTGCGGGATGGATTCTTTTTAATGACATGATCTCGTGGTAATTTTAACGATGGCCGATGGTGGTGGTGGTGGCGGTGGTACTACCATATTTTCAATTGTACAAACATGATCCTCAATTTCGACAAGAGGCTCTTTTGGATATTTAAAACTATTCTCCGTGCCGGCTACCGACTGCATATCGAGACTTGTTTCCATTTCAATTGAAATGTCTGCACAGCAACAAAAAAAAACGAATCAACAACGATAGAAAAATTAATATTTAAACATCATTTTGGCGTAGCAGCACTTCAGCTTTATAAATTATGAATAATTTTATGGCGATGAAAAAAAATAATATTCATACCACGTTTTTTATCAGCGGTTCGCACCGAATTCTGCCGATTGTGTCGTTTACGTCCAGCAAAGCAAACAACCGTAATAAATATACCGAGGGAAATTAATATAAAAAACACGCCACCGAGAAATGCAAGCACATTTAAATTACCTGTAAAAAATATAAAATTAATATTATCGAGAAATAGAGCCAGAGGCTGAACGCAGCGAAGGCGTGTGTGAGAGAAAAAAATGCGATTTTTTTTTATTTTGAAAATTTATGCTTAATTGCAATCATATCGTTAAATGGTACACTTTTTTCCCTCTTCCTTCTTTCTCCACTTCTTATACAGGAATTTATGCATTATTATGTATAGATGGAGCGTTAATGCTCACACAATAAAATGGTAATGAGTTTGAAAAACATGCCAAGTACTAAGCAAGATTGCAAAACAAAATTCATGCAAGGACAATTGTCCACATTATATTCAATGTAAAGACCATTGTGTCGTTTTGTAAATATGAATGGGAACTTATTTTTGAAAGAGGCAGAGAGAGAAAAAGAAGAAAAATATACGAAAGATATTTTACCGCGTGTGAGAAAGTTGTGCGATGTGCTGGCCGCATCAAATGTTTCATCGTGTAATGACTCTGCTGCCGTGCACACTTCTAACGATGCGATATTTAAATCAGATATTTGAATGCCCCTCAATGACTCGGGTAAAAAGCAAATCGGATGTAAACTCCAACGAAGCTGTACGGTACACAAATATGGAAAAAGAGACGGAAAAAAAATGTTATTTTTGGCTTAAAAAACGTTAAAAAAAAACGAGAAAAAAATAAAGGGAACAAATGAATCGAACGGGCTTACATTTTTCGCCATTTGAATGAGCGAACCCATATGGCATCGATCGCAAATAAGTGGATTATTTTCCAAACGCACTTCTTTGATTTTTTGCAGCATTATTGTTTGGCTATCTTCGATGCCATTTAACTGGTTCCGCGATATATCCAATAGCTGAAATGAAAACAAATGGGTTTTTTTTCTCTTTGCATTCAACGTCCGTTCTTCGGCAAATAATATCTATTAATAAATTTTGGACAGTTTTATTGGTTTTTACGATACTTACTTCGAGACTGTCGACCGGGCTCAAAATTTGCATCGATACATTCACCAAATGATTGCCAGACAAGTTCAATGCTTTTAATTGTCCTAGTGGCACCAATAATTCGTATGGAATTACGCCCATATCGGCTATTGATAATGTCTTGAGATTATGCAATAGCTGGGTGTGTATCCGCACCAACCAAAAACAAAACGAACACATATCATATATATTAATTTCAACTTTTGCTCAATTTTTGGCACGAATCGCAATCCGAATTCGGGCACAGAAACTGATATCAAATATCAATAAATGAAAATGGAGAGAACGACAAAACAAAAAAAAGAAATGTTCGAAATTACTTGAAATGCTTCACGTATATCGTATAGATCCATTTGAATGTTCCCGCTGATATTCAGTGTGTGTAACTTTTTTAGCGGCTCCACACTGGCGGACTCTAATTTTACTAGCTTATTATAGGACACATCCAGATATGTTAAATTTGATAGGTTTACAAATGCACCATTTGTTACTTTGGCCAACCTATTCCGTGATAAATCTGCGGACGAGAAAAAAATATGTGTGTCCAGTTGTGACAGTAACACCAACGGACGAGAAATGAAAAATCGAAAAATGAAATATTGAAATTTGCTTGGATTCGGTAGATGTACAACAACAAACATAGCAACGATGGAACCATTTAGAAAGGATTCATGACAAATGAACAATCTAATCGATGAACAATGGGCCCGTGCGTTCGATGTTCGCCAAAACAAATGCAATGGTTTTCCATCAAAGGTAGATGAACGATTTGGTCGGATACACGTATATGTTTTTATCATTTCACACCCAAGCTCACCATTTAACATTGAAGCAATCAAACTGTATGACCCGCTATTATTTACAAAGTGCTCAACCTGTCACGCTCGCTTTCGTTTAAGCCACAGGGGAATGACAAAAATGTCATCTTTCATGACCAGTTTCCATCGTTTTTCGGTGTCCGGAAAACGTAGCACATTTGTCCGTCCGTCCATCCACCCGAAACGTGCTTCGAATGGACGGACGGGCACCTCATTTGTCCAAAACGTGTTGTGAATGGCTTTCATTCTCGGACGACCGGATTGCTAATTTGTTGTCCGTTGCCACCTTTTATGCCATGCACACAGAGGTAAAGAATCCATATTGCAAATTCATTTATTACCCAAATATTCCAAATATTTTTGCGTTTCGAATAAATTGTCGATGATCACAGACAATTGATTTCCGTCCAGCTTAATACTTTTGATGAGATTTAAGTCCCGGAATTCGCCCCTTTCCAAGTATTTCAGCTATTTGAGTGACATCATGAGAGAAAAAAAAACGTTTTGGTTACAACAAAGCCACAAAAAAACACCATCAGAATGTTCGCTGCATTGGCATTTTAGCAATTACCTGATTTTCGCCTAAGTCCAGATATTCTAACCGCTGCAATAGGTTGTAAACTTGTGGATTGATTTTCTTAATGTTGCAGTTACGGCATTGCAGCTCTTTCAGTTCCTGATTGTGTCGGTTGTTTGTTGAACCCAGTTTGATAATTGAAAATCCATCAATTCATAAATCAATGTATGTATATGAGTCAAAAGCCAAAAAAAAATAAATTAGCAAAAGAAATTTCGAGCAAATGTGTAGTGTTAGTTTACCAGTATATCCTTGAAAACATCCGGCGGCAAATCGTTCAATGGATTACCACTTAAACTTAAATATTTGAGCTTGCCAAGCATGTAAAATACGCGTGGCACCAATTCAACTATTAAATTCTCAGCCAGACTCAGGCGTCTCAAATCCTATATCGTGTGTGTATTTAAACAAACACAAACAACAAACATTTAAGTACGAATAAACAAAAAAGAGGAAGAGAACGTGATAAACAGAGAGCAAGAGATATTTTTAAAAAAATGGAAGAAAATGACTTTAAAAGTTTGTGTAACTGATGGTTGTTGCACAACTTCAAAATAAGAGTTTTTGAAACATAAATTGCAGCAGAACAAGTTTGAAATTTTGCAACGCATTTGAGATACCTTGAGATGTTGAAATGTCCAGCTGGCCATCTCTTGGATCTTATTAAATGATAAATCCAACGAAAGCAATCCATCTTGACCACGGAAATTATTTGCTAAAATCGTACTAATATTGTTTCTTGATAAATCTGAAACGACAGACAACAAAATTGAACAATTAATCGATGCAATCTCTTTATATGTGTTGACTGGTGACAAAATACCTAATACGCGTAAACTTTGCACACCCCAAAACGAATGTACACCGATCGATTGGATGTTTGCATCGTTAATTTGTAAGACTTCTAATTTTGTGAACGGTATAAAAATCGGACTTATAGTTAATGGATTTTTCGAGCTGCTTATTATTAACACTTGTATATTTGGATCCAATGACTTTTCTGGTATCGTTTTCAATCCCTCTGAGAATTAGAGTATCGAAAATAAAAAAAATTATTTCAACAAAATATGAAAAATTCAATGCAAAAACTTACTGCATGTGATTTGCAAGCGGCCTTTTATATCAGTGTTACATGCACACTCATCCGGGCACATTGTCAATCCATAAGCTAATTGCAGAACTGACAACAGCATACAGTATTTTATCAACATTCTGTGAAAATGAAATGTTATATTTTCGGTTAGAATAACAAACGAAACGGAATGCATTATGGAAAAGTTGACAGCTTGTCTCAAAAAAGCTATCATCAAAGACTTAGAGACGCAAACTAAAATGTTTCAATTCAAAGAGCAAGAGAGAAAAGAGCCAACATATGATGGAGTTAGTTAAAGTTTTGTGGGCTTTTATGAGTTGACATTGTTTGACTTCATTTTGGTGGCTTTTTTGAAACTACACAGAGCAATATTTCAATTTATACTAAACTTGGATTACATTTTCTATGTACGCTATTCATTTTTTTTACTTTTTAGAAGAATTTCAATGTACTTTTCATCAAAGATTTATTTAGAATAAAAGCATGCCAAAACTTGTAAATTTGAGGTTCATTTTGTATATTAGGGGCATGTTTTATATATCAGTTGAAGGGAAGTCGACTAGAAATGTGTTTGAATATCTCGGATTTGTCAACTACGTTTACATAGACACTTATGTAATCACTGAATCTTTTAATGTTAGTTCGATTTTTTTTATTAGTGCTCACTCCCGTTGCGTTCCGACATCAAAATCATTTGACGTCTTTTTTCACATGTTGGTGATAGTAAATGTTTGAAAATCGAAATAAATAATGAATAAAGTAAAGGTTTTAATAATAAATGAGTGGCCCCAGGACATAATCCACCATACTAAAACCGAATCTATGACAAATTTTCATAATTTACGGTTCGTAAAGAAACCATTCAATATATTCAGCGGAACTAAAATTTCCATATATTTTCTCTTCGCAGTTCGCACCACCAACGACTTCATATTATATGCAAAAATTTCGAAAAAAAAGTGAATGATCATTTTCACGGGGACTAAATTTAGATTGCGCTCTAGCTCTAGAACTAGCAGCATGATGAAATCGATAAAAATAATATTAGTGCTGTATAACGTTTTCAAAGTTCACGTGCAACATTACAAATTGCAACATTTAACCTGCGCTGCAGGGAATTGTAATAAAAAACACTGTGTAATTAAAATGCTATCGGATCAAAAATCGAATAAGATTGTACGCATTTGAGTGAGAAAGAAAAGTGCCGGAAATTGCATAGGTATATACTCACTTGTCGTGGCTAAATATTTGTTTCCGGTCGTAAAAATGTACAGTTTGGGTCATCGCACGTAATTAAAACTCCAATAATCGGTCTGTTCAATCTAAAAGTAAAAGAGCAAATATTGAAATGTATTTTAATCTCGAGCGAATATAATACAATTTTATTGAATTGAAAATGTTCAAAGAGGTAAACCGAAAAATAGCCATTTGAATGGGCCATTGACCACCGCAATGTATAAATCAATATTATTGCAAATGATCCGTGTTGTTAACGAATCTGTAATATTTGCAAAATGTTTTGAAATAGATATATTCACAAAATGAAATAATAAAATGCATTCATTCAATACGATAATTTAAGCAGAACGAAGAAGGGGGAGAAAAAGTAGAGCCAGCGTGTAAGTGTGCTAAAATTCCGATTATTTACAACCCAAATAGACTGTAAAGATAATTGCAACTACATCGGTGAACCGAGCAAACATTAGACAGAATGATTGTGAGGGCATACAATGCAAAAGTGATGCGAATGAACATGAAGCGTGTATGGCATACGGCACACATTTTATACATTCCATGCGCTAAAACATCTAGCTGACCAATTATGCAAAGATATGGTGATTGTATTTGCCAACCGCAAACAAAAGCAAATACCTATTGACCAAATAGAAAATGTTGAATGCATTTCGAATGCTGGAAAATATTGTATAAAACGACAAGAGGACGAAACCAAATCGCTCTCTCTCTATCTATCTCTCTTTTACAGAGGTTGTGTTTAAAGTCTTTAATCATATTTATTTGCATATCCACAAGCATTTACGTTTGTGGAATCTGTGCAAAACTCTGTAAGCATTCTGTATGCTTTTGGAGGGAGGCTGACATGCTGCATAAAGAAATTGCATGAAATCCAATATGAGTGACCGATTCTTCAGCAAACCAATTCCAGTAACATCCACTGCAAATATGCGGTGCCGTTTTTTTTTCTTCTATTTTGTTTAGTGGTTTACCAAATATACATCGCGCGACCAACAGTAGTTTGTTCAAAACTTGTTTTATGCCAGGAAATCCATGTCTCTGTACACTTTTTAATTAAATGCTAAATATCAAATTAGTCTCTTGTGTTCATCGAATTATAAAACGAAAAAATAGAGCAAACAACAATGTCCGTCCAGAAATAATCTTCTAACAATGCAGTCTTTTTGAAAAAAAAGAGCTCCCACATCAAATCTGCAACCAATTTAAATTAAATGAAGTTTCAATTCGAAATGGAGAGAATAAAATTCCGGAGAAAATGTCATAAAATACCTATCAAAGTAAGAGTAAATTTGGTTTTAATTACTGCATAGCGGCTGCATATATTCAAATCATCATACCCTTACACCATTTTACAATGTAAGTTATGCAGAGTTTAGTGTCAATTTTATTTCGAACACAAATTACATTCAGCAGAAATATAATTTCACTTTATTATTTGAAATGTGTTTGTGTTCGTTGAATGACATTTTGCATAGAACGCTTTTGCATGACTTTTGCTCGTTGAATTTTATGCACAAACACCATATGTAAATATTGAATTACCTTTTTCTTGATGCCAGAGGATATATGGGAACCAAAAATACGATGTCGTTTCTACTTTTCAGATATACATGTATAGCTATTTTGTTTGCAGCACAAATATACACCAAAAGCTCTACGATTAAAGAAACATTTGAATCTGAGAATGTCTCATGTTATTTAATTCGAATATTTCAGTGAATTTTTTTTCTTCCAAAACGTTTTTCTTCGTGTTGTTTTCGTTTACATGTATTTTTCGGAAATGTGTCGTTGAAACAAATCTAACTGCAATCATCGCTTATGATGCATGACTTAATGTTTACTTTTCAATTCCGCTTTTGGACTCTGCCTATTTTCATCGTTTTTCGTTTTTTTCCTCTACGATTTTTTCGCTTAACGTTTTTTTCGTCGTCATCAGAGCCTTTCCCCGCCCTCTCTCTCTTTCTCTATGCTTCTGTTTACTACTTGTGCTCAATGTTTTTTTTTTGCATCATTTTATTCAACGATACCATTTTCGTTTTATTTCATATTCATCTTTTTCCTCGATCCGTGTTCGAGTCTGGGCCCTAAATAACGCCAGATCCGTTGGATAAATATTAAGTACCATGAATCTGAAGCTGGTGTTTTATGTGATATTTTATCAACCCCAACTGTGTCATTAGATTCCAATGAATGTGTGCCTCGGCATACTTTAGTGAACACTTTTTTTGCCATCGCACAGCGGCTCTATCAAAGCGAAACGAGATCGTCGAACAAGATAATGGCAGAGTTAAGTGTAAATGTATTTCTTCGCTCTCTTGCTCTGTACGCTGAAAATGTGCTTTTTATTTGCTGTGTATTGTTTTAAATCGCTATGAGCTGATGTTTCTGTCTCCCGAAAAGCGGCATGAGGCAAACGTTAAGTACTTTCTTGGTGTTTCACTTTTACAGTGGAAAATATACATATTTGATTTTTTGTAGTTTCATACTTGATTTTTGGCAAAGATTTTTCGGTTTACATTTCGCGATTACTGTACAGTTCAAGTCGATGATTTCTTTCTTTCTTTCGTTTTTTTCCCGTCGAATTAATCCAAATGTGTTGCTCTGAATCCTTTTCTATCTCTTCGGATTTATCATCGAGATAACAATTTTTATTTGATACGAAGCGGCTTTTCGTTGGTTTGCATCGAATTTGTAATGCTTAACGCAAATCATATCTGGAAATGAACCCATTTTCGGTGTGAAATGCAATAAATCAGATTTAAGCTATGCTTCTGTGTGGTCACTGCTTTCTTTATTCTTTTCAGTGTGTATACATTTGTGGGACGCCACAAATGGTCATTAATCTAATGTCTCATCATATTTAGCTAGTGCTTTAGTTGATGGTTGACTGGCTTTTAACTGGATAATGTCACAATGCGTCTGCACACGAAATTCGAAGATAATTTGGTCAATAGTCTTTTGTCAAATGGAATTCGTTTTACTGAAATTCGTGTGCATTAGATATGTTGACGAAAAAGAAGAAAAACGATCACAGAGTGAAAAAAACGAATCTATTTTATTTTTCGGCCGAAACCGACATTTTTACGTATACAATATGTTTTTCTCCACAAAAGATAGCTACCGATCTCACTTAATTTGGTCATATGAAATTGTAGTTCGAAATTGCCAGTTACAAAAATATCATTTACACTTTTTGAGTGATGGCACTGTTTTAATGGCCAAGCACTTAAGCGAGTTTATTTTTTTGTCGGTGTAAAAGCATCATTCGTTATGAATGACGTTCATTTGGACATATATGAAAACTCTCTCGCACTTAATCTGATAAAATATATATAAAAACGCAACGGATTGATAAAAGCCGAACAACGGAAGAAATCATAAAAATGAAAAGTGAGATTTTTTGGCCAAAAAAATGATGACAAGAGTGAGAGCGGGAGATACAGAAAAGTGCAAACAATATGTGCATATTGTTTGGTATAGATAGAACATGCTGTGAATAATATCGCTTCAAATACTTGACAGAGATTGAGAGTCTGTCTTAGAGGCGGGTTGCTGCTGAAATTTATTTTAACGCAAAAAAAAAGTTTCATTTTTATAGCCTGCGTTAACGAGCACTTTCAGCTGACACTGTTTAATGGTCGTGCAAGTTTTTTTTGTCAAAACCCGAAACACACTCTTTTGGTTCGTGTGCATTTTTAACTGGCCAAGACTCTGGCCCAAGAGGAACCAAGCAAAAAACTTTCATATCCGGCCATTGAAGTTGTTTTTCGGCTGTCAATTAATAATAATGAATTTAATTTTGATTAAAAATGACAATGAATACCATGACAAAACAATAACCATTTTATTTGGTGTGTCAAGCGTTTTATTAATTCAACGATGCGTTTATATTATGTGCAACCACATTTTTCGAAAATAAAGCTTCTTTCATACCAACATTGGGGGCGGTTAAGCTTTAAACTCTATCTTTTTCTTTCTCAATTTCTCTCTGCAAAGCGACATAAATGGAGACAGAGAGGAAAAGCGGCCAAGAGAGGGAGAGAACGAGATAGAGACAAGGATGCAGAAAGAGATGGAGAGAAAATGATATAACCACTGTAAATCCTACTTTAACTTTTATGATTTATTTGCAGATAAATGCAATAAAACCGATGTCACAGTATAACACTCATTTTCGAAGATAGTATCTTTGTTTGTTTTTTTCGTTAAATTGTATATCTCTCCAAATGAAATAAATCCTCCATACTCTTTATTGGAAAAACACACATTCGACTTATAGTTGAGTCGACCACATGAGTCCTTCTCCGTCCCATATTTTATCTATTTTCTGAAAATATTCCATTATAAATAATTTCGAGGGCAAAAAAGTTCAAAAAAAAAATCTGTTCAAACTCAAAATGAAACTTTATTGTCCATATGTACATTGTACAAGATAGTTTGGCCAAAGTTGAATATTTCACTATTTAACAGCGACAAATGATCTTTGACTTTTGGGGCTATATGGTGATGCAACTAAAATAGCCGAATAAGGAATATTGCAGCAACAATGCAGTGTTTCTTCTTAGTTTGTAATTTTTCATATATAAATATATCGCATTTAAAACGGTCGTAATAGTCGAAACAACAGAAGTAGCACGTACAAATGCGCACTAATGGAAGTTCCATATAGCAGTGTAATTAGTAAATGTATTTGTGCCGCTTGGCATCATTGATATTTCAGCATAGCAATTGTTATGTTGAAATTCCGACTTATCGTTATTCGACCGCAAAAAGTGCTTTTCAAATATTATAAATGGAAATAAATTCATATTTCCATCACGACAAATCCATATAAAAGTGTTAAATGCACATGGAAATGGTGCCAATGATGCGCATATCTGTTTGCACGTATATTGAACCAACCGAAGTTTGGATGGAGAGATTGAACAATTCAAAGAATATTCCATGGAGCATCAACACAACACCCGAATACATTTTGAAACAAAAATCGACCTCTGACATACAAAAAATTGAAACCTTCATTGTATATTTATATGATCGTTTAGCATTGGCTCCGCAGAGAGCTAAC